AAAAAGCTTACCCACCATGATCAAGTCAGCTTCATCCCTGAGATGCAAGGCTGGTTCAACATATGCAAATCAATGAATGTAATCCATCACATAAACAGAACCAATGACAAAAACCAAATGATTATCTCAACAGATACAGAAAAGACCTTCAACAAAATCCAACACTCCTTCATGCTAAAAACACTCAATAAACTAGGTATTGATGGACCATATCTCAAAATAATAAGAGCTGTTTATGACAAACCCACAGCAAATATCTGTGGATATTTGCAAAAGCTGGAAGCATTCCCTTTGAAAACTTGCACAAGACAAGGATGGCTTCTCTCACCACTCCTATTCAACATAGAATTGGAAGTTCTGGTCAGGGCAAACAGGCAAGAGAAAGAAATAAAAGCATATTCAAACAGGAAGAGAGGAAGTCAAATTGTCTCTGTTTGCAGATGATATGGTTGTATATTTAGAAAACCCCATCATCTCAGTCCCAAAACTCCTTAAGCTGATAAGCAATTTCAGGAAAGTTGCAGGATACAAAATCAATGTGCCAAAATCACAAGCATTCCTATGTACCAATAATAGACAAACAGAGAGCCAAATTGTGAGTGAACTCCCATTCACAATTGCTACAAAGAGAATAAAATACCTAGGAATACAACTTACAAGGGATGTGAAGGACCTCTTCAAGAACTACAAACCACTGCTCAAGGAAATAAGAGAGGACACAAACAAATGGAAAAACATTACATGCTCATGGATAGGAAGAATCAATATCCTAAAAATGGCCATACTGCCCAAAGTAATTTATAGATTCAATGCTATTTCCATCAAGCTAACATTGACTTTCTTCACAGAATTAGAAAAAACTACTTTAAATTTCACATGGAACCAAAAAAGGGCCCGTATAGCCAAAACAATCCTAAGCAAAAAGAACAAAGCTGGAGGCATCATGCTACCTGACTTCAAAGTATACTGCAAGGCTACAGTAACCAAAACAGCATGGTACTTGTGCCAAAACATATATATAGACCAATGGAACAGAACAGAGCCCTCAGAAATAACGCTACACATCTACAACCGTCTGATCTTTGACAAACCTGACAAAAGCAAGCAATGGGGAAAGGGTTTCCTATTTAATAAATGGTGCTGGGAAAACACCAGCCATATGCAGAAAACTGAAACTAGACCCCTTCCTTACATCTTATACAAAAATTAATTCAAGATGGTTTAAAGACTTAAATGTAAAACTCAAAACCATAAAAACCCTAGAAGAAAACCCAGGCAATACCATTCAGGACATGGGCATGGACAAATACTTCATGACTAAAATACTAAAAGCAATGTCAACAAAATCCAGAATCGACAAATGGGATCTAATTAAACTAAAGGGCTTCTGTATAGCAAAAGAAACTATTATCAGAGTGAACAGGCAACCTACAGAATGGGAGAAAATTTTTGCAACCTATCCATTTGACAAAGGGCTAATATCCAGAATCTACAAGGAACTTAAATTTACAAGAATAAAAAACATCAAAGAACGGTTTAACGATATGAATAGACACTTCTTAAAAGAAGATATTTATGTGGCCAAAAAACATAAAAAATATCTCGTCATCACTGGTTGTTAGAGAAATGCAAATCAAAACCACAATAAGGTACCATCTCATGCCAGTTAGAATGGTGATCATTAAAAAGGAAACAACAAATGCTGAAGAGGATGTGGAGAAATAGAAATGCTCTTAACACTGTTGGTGGGAGTGTAATTTAGTTCAATCATTGTAGATGACAGTGTGTCAATTCCTCAAGGATCTGGAACTAGAAATACCATTTGATCCAGCAATCCCTTTACTGGGTATATATCCAAAGTATTATAAATCATTCTACTATAATGACACATGCACTTCTATGTTTATTGCAGCACTATTCACAATAGCAAAGACTTGGAACCAACCCAAATGCCCATCAATGTTAGACTGGATAAAGAAAATGTGGCACATAAACATCATGAAATACTCTTCAGCCATAAAAATGAGTTAATGTCCTTTGCAGGGACATGGATGAAGCTGGAAACCATCATTCTCAGCAAACTAACACAAGAACAAAAAGCCAAACACTGCATGTTCTCACTCATAAGTGGGAGTTGAACAATGAGAACATATGGGCACACGGAGGGGAACATCACACACTGGGGTCTGTTGGGGGATGGGGCCAAGGGGAGGGATAACATTAGGAAATATACTTAATGTAGATGACGAGTTGATGGGTGCAGCAAACCACTATGGTACATGTATACCTATGTAACAAACCTGCATGTTCTGCACATGTATCCCAGAACTTAAAGTATACATATGAAAAAAGAATGTAAATAAATCATGGAGATTAATGGCAAATACTCAAGATCTGCAAAGGAATTTTGGGGTGGATTTATTCACCACTGTGCCATGCGTGTAATCTGCCTTCGCAAATGTCAACTGAGAAGCATGTAAGCAATGAACTTGATTCAGAGAGAGACAAAAAAATCTTGGGAAGTTTAATTATTGATGTTAGTATCACTTTTTTATATGAAAAACTAGGAAGACAAAGACTGACATTTGATGTATCAACACACTCAATCAGGTGGTTAAAAATAAAAATAAAAAGTCCTATTTTACCCCTATATATATATACACATATATACACACATACACAATTACAAACTTTTATAAATTCCCTCACTTGCATATTTTTTTGGACAATTTGAATAATCATTCCACTTCAGCCAATATTATGTTCCTGAAGAAAAATAGATGAAGGGAAAAATAGTTCCAACTTTTACTGAGAGAAAATAAGAGAAAAGATCATACGTTTCTTATTTATCTCTCCTACCCCTGACTTCCTAAGCACTGATGTTGATTATGTACTTGTTAAACTGAATAACAAGAAAATAATAACATTACTAATCGATTCGGAAGAGAAGGTCCTACCAAAATAAAATAGCTAAGTGTTACAACCTTAGAAGAATTAATTTATTGTGGCAGGATAATGAGGACCAAGCAAAATGTTAGATTGGCTCTAGAATTTTAAATTCTAGAGAAGAATAGCTAAACCTGTCTGCAAAATTATGGGAAACATAGAAGGATGTAGTGCCATCGATTTATTTTCATTTCTTTCTAACCACAAAGACAAGATAAGGAAACAAGATGAGGCAGAAATTCTCATTTCTCAGACTTGATCATTAAATTTCTCACAGTACTGAAAATATATGTACATTTTTCTGGAATGTGTTATAATTAAAGTACTATAAATGAAAACACTATTCCAAGAAGTGTCAATTAGTTTGAACTGTGTAATTGAAACTGCTAAGTATTATTTTATAAATATTTTTCCTTCTTACTAAACAATGAAGCCCCCCCCCCTTTTTTTTTGTGAGACAAGGTTTGGCTCCATCTCCCAAGCTGGAGTGGCATGATCTTGGCTAACTGCAACCTTCGTCTGCCAGGTTCAAACAACCCTCCCATTTCAGCCTCCCAAGTAGCTGGGACTACAAGCACTCACCACCACACCTGGCTAATTTTTGTATTTTTTATAGATACGGGGTTTTGCTATGTTGCTCACGTTGGTCTCGAACTTGTGAGTTCAAGTGATCTGCATGCCTTGGCTTTCCAAATTGCTGGAATTACAGGCATAAGCCATCATGTCCAGCAAAGCTCTTAATTTTTAGTTAAGCATAAAGTCATTAAGAATAAAGACTATAATACCCAGCTTTCTTTGCAGCAAAGTTGGGGGTGGACCAAGTTTTGGCTAATGAGATGTAAGCAGAAGTAGTGTGTGTACTTCTGAGGCATATCCTTAAAGGAAAGAAACACTCCTTTTGTTCCTTTTCCACCTCCAAGGTCAGAATATAAAACCAATGGCTGACGCTTCAGCAGACATTTTGAGTCATGTTATGGTCTTGAAAATGGTGGCCACAGAGGATGAAGCAACAAGAGAGGAGTCTCGGTCCTTGTCTCTAGGGAAATCACATCCAGCTCTTTGCTGACTCTCTCTAGAATTTTGAAATAAAAAGAGAAAAATATCTTATTTAATCCATTGTCATTTTTCATTTTCTGTCACTTGTAGGTAAGCCTAATCCTAACTAATATAGACTAAGTTGTCTGCCAAAGGAAATTCTATGAGAAGAAATGGATAGATTATTGGTTTCTTCCAACTGTTTCTTAATAACTCTGAAGAGGAAAGGAAAAACATGCCTTACATGGAAAATGATTCAATGTTTTTAGTCAATCAAAGAAACAAGAACCAAATTCTGAGTTAAGAATTGACATTGTTCAAATCCCAGTTAGATGACTTTCAACTTTGGATTCTTCCTTCCTGTCTCCCTGTCCATTCCCTTTCTTTTTCTTTCTCTTCCTCACCTTCTCTCCATTTCCCTCTCCCTTCCTTTCTACCTTCTATTCTTTTCTTCTTTTTACTTAACTTAGCACTCAAGTTTAAACTACAGTATATTTTGGATTCTTTAAATATTTCAGTTTTTAAAAATGTTTAGCATTTAACATGATTCTTACCCTTTATATGAATGCAAGTTCAAGAAAGATGATTTATTATTTTGCTTGCCGCCACATTTTTCTACAAATACTAATATTTAAGAAGCTGTATCCACCTTCAAGAAGTGGCCTTTTTCTTTTAGTCTTCAATAAGAAGCTAAGCTCTTTAAGATGAAAAAGAGACACTACCTATAACTTTAAAATTTTTTGATAATTCCATTTTTTTGCAAATTCTTTATTGCTAAATACATTCTTCTAATAATTAAAACATATCTATTTCTTCTTCTTCTTCTCTCTCTCTCTCTCTTTTTAGAGACAGGCTCTTGCTCTATTGCCTAGGCTGGAGTGTAGTAGTGCACTCACTGCAGCCTCTAATTCCTGGGCTCAAGTAATCTTCTTCCCTCAGTCCTTAAAGTGGCTGGGATCATAGGTACGTGCCACCACACTTGGCTAATTTAAAGTTTTTTTAGATATTTATTGTTGTTGTTGTTTGTTTGTTTTTGTAGAGATAGGGTCTCACTATTTTGCCCAGGCTGGTCTTGAACTCCTGGCCTCAAATAATCTTCTCACCTCAACTTCCCAAAGCTTTGGGATTATAGGCATGGGCCACTGTGTCTGGTCATCTGTTCCCTTTCTAAATTGCTCACTATGTAGTTACATGAGGAGTACTTTCCACTGTCAGTTCACTTTTGGGCATGATATCCTTAAGTTGTGGGCCTGTTTATCACAAATATTTCAACATGGTTCTTAGACACTTCAACAGATCTTCTATCAAACAAATGTTACAGATAACTTTTAAATTAGATGGAAGTAAAACCCAGGCATTCAAGTTGCTATAGTTTTAAAAGAGCAATTATTTATATTTTTCCTACTTAATTCAGCTACACCTGGAAAGAACGTATCTTGGGCAAAAATGTCAAGTTAGAACATTTGCATTCTAATCAACTATGAAATTTATCCTAGTTACATATTAAAGTGACTTAGAAAGACTAAGCGAGAATTTGCTTAAAAAATAATTAGCCAGAATAGACCACATTTGGGGACCCCATTCGTTTTTAAATTAAGTAAGAAATGAAGATTTGTTTATTCTCGGCAAGATTCCTTTTTAATTTGCAAAGATTGAAAAGAGAAATTTTGGTTTTTGCTTCTCAATTTAGAAAGGAGTCATGATGGTTTTCCTCAGATTTGCAATGTACATTTTAGCTGGTTTTAATGAAGACAAATTCTTCTCAATCAGAGTTTCCCATTCATTAAGTGAGACAGATGGCAGCCTTGGCATATATTTTGTTAGAGCCAGCCTCTTGAAGCTGGCTGCCTCCCTTATTTAGGTCTATAGGAATAGCAGGGCTTATTTTTCTGAAGGAAAAATCAAAGAAGTCAGTATTTTGCTAGGGCAAATTGTCGAGTTGTCTTCAAAACAAATGAGCCAACCACCTCCCAGATTTGAAGTGGTGAGAAAGTGTATTTTCCTTTTTTTTTTCATTTGAGGGACACGTACCCTCACTTTATGTGGCAGGTGGAAGGCTAAGATACTTGGGGATATACACATTTAGAGATTTTCCTAAGAGATGTTTGAGATTTCTCTGATGTGTGCTGTTCCACACCCCAAGACATTTTGTGTCCTTTGGTAATTCTCTAACCCTCCCTATAACTCCCTTGCTTAGATTTTGCTGGCTTTGAAACATGACCAGAAGCTCAAATAAAGAAAAAGTAAGCTGGAAAGCATCCCAACTTCCTGCGGTGCTGCATGAGGTCAGCAGAAGACACTTAAGAAAGGATGCATCATTCACACAAGATAGAAGGCACAGCCTGGGGAAGGGCTGGCCAAGGTTTACAAGACTCAGTGCTAAGGTGGCTCCAGGAGGAAAAACACAGGCTTTAAATGTTCACGTCTCCATTCCAGTCAGCACTAGAGGCTAAAGAGCAGTGGATGTCCTATCTTCAGTTTTGCCAGGGCCACTTCTGAGGAGAGCTATTGAATCTAGAACTACACCATCTCTTAAGATAGTTAAGATTCTGACCAATGAATACAAGCTAAGGGGTGCATTCATTTTCCCTTACTCTGATCTGACACACAATTGCATATGGAGAAGCTGAGGTTTGGCAAGAACACACAGTGCATGTAGTGACCACGTCTTTGCTGAAAACCCTAATGGATATGCACAATGCAGAGTGCATTCTCTAAGACTGGAGGCAAAAGCAAGAACTGCAAATGCTCATTTCTATGGAACAGTAACTGTGACAGTACTGCATTGGAATTACCCAGATTAATGGATAATTGCCGAGTATTATTGTACAACTCTGCACTTCTATTTTTCCCTTTGTCTTACAGAAGCATAGCCCCCAAAGAGTAGCCAGGAAGATGAGAGGCGGGGAGAAGAAAAGAGAGAAGAGGAGGTGGCAGATCAATCTAACTTGTTTCTGATGAGTGGCAAATATCCAGAATTTTAGGACAATCTTTATGGATGGCTGAGGTTGGGGATTGAAACAGTTATAACTTCATATTTAAGTCAAGAAAGATTAAAAATGAAAACATATATACCATATTAAATAGCTGCCTATATTGCATACTAATAGACAAATCACTAATGTAAGGATTTTCTCCTCAAAGCTGTTTTCTGCACTTAGACAAAGTTCAGATTCTGCAATGCCTACCAGAAGTATGTACAAATTCATGTGAAGATAAAATAGAAACATAATTTAGTATGGTTCTATTTTGTGAAATGTTAACCATGTTTTACTTGCATGTGTATGTGTGGGCGTAATTAAGTGATAGTTTAAAATATTTCAATACTCACTTTATCCTTCTGTTTTACTGATCCTCTACAGTTTTGATGTTTTATCAGCTTTTTCAATAATTGTAACAATACTAAAAATAATTATTGGCATTAGTTTTGGAATTTGAATATAAAAGTTACTTTTAAATTAAAGCATTTTTTAAGTTTATTTCCAATCATTTAAACTTGGGCAACATTTTCCCAGCTGCTTTTTAAAAAACAGAGTTTGTTGTTTCCGTCGGCTCTTCATAGTGCTTGAGTGGAAAGCAAGAGCTCCAGACAGGGTACAGGGGAGTGTTTTGACATTATTAATAATAATCACCTCCTTTAATTGTGGAGTGCTTCACCGTGTACTGAGATTTTTTTTTTTTTTAATTTTCATTAAATTCTCACCTCACCTTTGGGAGGTAGGGATCATAGTTCCATTTTATAGATGAGGAAAACTGTAGTGCAGAGATGTCAAACACTGTCCAAGAACACGGTGGTGGATAGGACCCAAACCCCAACTTTTGCTCCCATGTTCTCTGTTCACTGGCTATGGCTCTTGACACTGTGTACAGATACAGGCTCTGGACAAGTTCACCAAATCCCTTAGGCTTCAGCCCCCTCATCTGCAGAATAGTAGCTTAGATTCCACCATCTTCAAAGTCCCTGCCAGCTTTTCTTTATTTGGCTTTGGATGTATTAAGTAGAATAAAAAGTGATGGGAGTTTGTGGGTACCAGTGGATTAAAGGGGTATAATCTGGAGTGAGTAAATTAGGTCTCCAAATGGCTCACCATGGTTGTGATGAGCTTGGAGGAATGAAGGCAAATTTTGTCACATTAAACTCTGATTCTTAACAGAGTCTCATGAAACCTACAGGCTCCAAAAGAAGAACAAGAAGAAAAGAAGACTTTTACACACATACAAACATTTGTAACAGTTTTAGGTGGTTAATAGACTGACTTCTTAGAGATGCACGGGCTGAGTTAACAACCACATATTCGCAGCTTTCTGGCCTACAGGGAGCTTCACTGTGGTTGTTAAACGAAGTGAGCAAAACTTATTTTCATATAAAAAATAGTGATTGAGAAGTGTGGGCAAAAGTGATGTGAAAAGAGTATATATTTTATATTTAGAAGAGATCAAATTATCAGTGATGATGAAAATTAGTACAGTGGTTGTCTGTGAGAATGTAGGCATTGCCTGAAAGAGGGCATAAGGGAATTTTCTAAAGTGACGGAAATGTTCTGCATTTTGATTGAGGCCTTGGTTACATGGATATGTACATTTCTCAAAACTAATCAAATCATACCATTAATAATTGTGCATTTTACCATATGTAAATTTTGTGCCAGTTAAAAAAACACAACTGTGATGCATTTTCAAGACACTCTTTTTTCCCACCGATAATTGCTTCCCATATCATTTTCTTGGTTTTTGGGAAGGGGTAGGAGAAAGAAAAGCTGATGTTGCTAAAACGTGAATTCTCCTTTAGAAGCATTTATAAAGAATACCACAGTAGTTTCATGCTTCTTTTGAATATCCTAAGAGCAAAGTTCCTGACTGCAGGTCTATGTTTGTGATTTCTATCCCCCAAGCTGTATGAGCTATATGTTTAGGACTGATAGCAGTGTCAGGAATGGAATAATGACTAGAAAATATGGACCTCAGAGATACCAATATTCCCTCCAAAGGGGAAAGGGGCTCTACTAATCATTTTATTCTTCCATGTGCCCACAATATGTATACATATATGTATGTGTATATATCAGGAAAAACAACATATGCACAAGTCTGAAAATTTAGATTGCCATAATATTGTTCTGGGTTTTAAGACATCAAGAACAAAGGAGGACTCCATGTTTTGTTTTATGGCATTGAAAAAATTACCCATATTCAATTCAAAAGCTGAATCCATTATTTGTACCCATTTATCAGCTGTCACAGGGTCTACCTTGGTGGCTGATAACCAAAGGTAATGTCTGCTAAAACAAATTCATCAGGCCTGGAATAACTTCAACAGTCAGCAGTGCTGACTTAATATCTCCACAGCACACACTGAGATTTCTCTTAGAATTGACTGTAGAAGGTTTTCACAGATTTGATTTTTCATTTTGCATGCCTCACATTAAATATTGTTAAAAATTTAAAACCAAATTCTGTTTTTTCTTTTTTCTTTTCTTTTCTTTTTTTCTTTTTTTTTTTTTTTTGACAATTTACAAGTGTTCATATAAGAAGGAAACGACTAAAAAATTACCCACCGAAGCACCTAGAACTCATCTAGAGAACAATGCTAATAATACAAAGGCTGTGACCAAAGAACTCCATGATTCGTGGGAAAGCCAGGAAGCACAGTCCAGCCTCTGGAAGGAACGTGAGGCGGGTCGGATCCACCGAGGTGCGCAGTCAATGGTCCTTTGCTCCCTAAGTCAAGTTCAGCAGCCGCATTTCTGGTTCAATGTCATTACTTATTTCGACCTAAAAACAGAAAATACGAATTGCTTTCAAGAACTTCAAAGCTGACAGCTCAATATCTTTTATATTCATCCAGGTCTTTTGAAATGCAAAATAGCTCCTGGGTGCACCTGGTGCTGTCTGACTGTAGCAATAAGAAAGTTAGAAACTTGGGCCTTCCGCTTTTCAGATTAGGGCATTGTAATCGGGCATCATCATCAGAGTGCTGGATGATTTCCTGGGAGAGAAGTGCCAACCACACAGTAATTGTTGTGTGATGTGGAGTAGTCGCTATTGCTTTTCTTAAGAGTAAAGATAACAGGGTAATGTTGTATCCCCAAACTATGAGATATTTGCATAGCCTGTTCTTTCTACAGTATGCTAGTGGTTAAGTGCTCAAGATCATCCTGCTCTTGCTTTCATGACACCCAACCAATGACTCATGTTTCTTACACACATCCCATCCTGTGATGGCTCCTTTTATGTGTCAGCATGGCCAGGCCATGGTGTCCAGATGTTTGGTAAAACTTCAGTTTACCTCTCAGTGTAAAGGTTTATTTTTTATTTTTAAATTTTTTTTATTTTAAAAAGAGATTAACATGTAAATCAGTAGACTTTGAGTAAAGCAGATAGCCCTCTGTAATGTAGGTGGGCCTCATGTAATCTGTGTAAGGCCTTAAGAGAAAAGACTGAGGTCTCTTGTGGAAGAAGAAAGTCTGCCTCCAGACTGTCTTTGGACTTGAGCTGCATCTCTTCCTTAGGCCTCCAGTCTGCCAGCCCCCAGAGGCAGGCATGTGTGGACACACACACACACACACACACACACACACACACACAGACACACACTCTACTGGTTCTGTTTCTCTGGAGAACCCTGACTCATACAGATCCCCATCTCCAATCACTGTTGTCTCCACACTTTTGAAAACGACTCTGCTTATTCTATCCTGAGCAGTAAGCCTTTGAAATGTTAGGGCATCAGCTTCTGCATCTTTGCACAATGTCAACCTTAACACAGTACCTACTGCGTAGTTGATACTTCATAAACATCTGTTGAACACTTTTGCTCTCACAGTCTCTCTCCTGTGAAAAGTCCTAGCTCAATCAAACCCTATTCACCTTTGAAGGTTTGGGTGAAATTTCTTCTCCACTGCAGAAGAAATTTCTCCACTGCAGAAGAAAATTCTTCTCCACTGCAGAATACTTCCACTTCTCCCTCAGCCATTTTGCTTTCTCATCCTGCTAAGAGCAACTCTCAGGCTATCAACTCTTCCCTATGTACAGCTAGTGGCATCCAGGCCTCATGATTAATTTCTTCACCCAGGCATGCAAGTTTTCTTCCTTCAACTAAATTGTAAGCATCATTCCAACAGACTGTGTTTCACACTCTCTTCATAACCACATCTAGCAACTCCTTTTCCTCTACTTCAGTTTGATGACTTTATGCGTTGGAGTGAACTCTTCGGTTATAATTTGGAATGGCTGAAAAATTTTCCAATAGTTTTACTTTTTGTTTGCCACTCTTCTCATTGTAGAGCATGAATAAAATGACCACAAAATATCCACCCAAGCGCCTAGAACTCCTCTAGAGAACAACTCCCTCCTGCATGCCTCAGGAGTGGGAATCCTCCAGGCCTCTCCCTGTGCCCCATCACATTTCCTCTGCTCATCTATTCTCTACATTCTGAATATCAGTGTCTACCCTTTCTACTCCTTGGCATTTTAACAAGGATTTAAACTAAAAGAGAAAGGGATGGGATTATAATGGTGGAATAGTTTTATGCAATCTTTACATTAGAAGGAATTTTCAGGGTTTATTTTTCCATCCAATACATGAATCTCTTTGAGTGAGGACAAGGCAACAGGAGAAGGTGTTTTTCTTTGTTAGCAGTAGTGTCAGTGAGGGTTTGGGGGAACTTCTAGGTACCCATTACATTTATCTTTAACACCAGCTCTGCCTCTGGCTAATATTTTCTGCTTCTGAGCTTTAGCAACATGGATTGGTGAAGCAGTGAAACAGGCTGAGCCTGTTCCTATGATGTCAGGTAGGAATTCTGACAGTGTTACTTCAGGAGCTGGGAAACATGTCTGTGAGGAGTTTTTGGAGAAGACAGTGGGGCAACTCTGAAAGGGGGCATTCAAAGGAAAACCTATTGACAAACCTGTGTTAGGTTTTATTAGCAGACTGACTTTTAAAAAATCAAACAGAGCTGGGCACAGTGGCTCACGCCTGTAACCTCAGCACTTTGGGAGGCCGAGGCTGGTGGATCATCTGAGGTCAGGAGTTTGAGAGCAGCCTGACCAAAATGGTGAAACCTCGTCTCTACTAAAAATACAAAAAATTAGCCAGGTGTGGCAGCAGGCACCTGTAGTTCCAGCTACTAGAGAGGCTGAGGCAGGAGAATCCCTTGAACCCGGGAGGTGGACGTTGCAGCGAGCTGAGGTCATGCCATTGCACTCCAGCCTGGCCAAAAAGAGTGAAACTCCGTCTCAAAAAAAAAAAAAAAAAAAAAAAGAAAGAAAAAACTGCCGGGCGCGGTGGCTCAAGCCTGTAATCCCAGCACTTTGGGAGGCCAAGACGGGCGGATCACGAGGTCAGGAGATCGAGACCATCCTGGCTAACACGGTGAAACCCCGTCTCTACTAAAAATACAAGAAAATTAGCCGGGCGAGGTGGTGGGCGCCTGTAGTCCCAGCTACTCGGGAGGCTGAGGCAGGAGAATGGCGTGAACCCGGGGGGGCGGAGCTTGCAGTGAGCCGAGATCGCGCCACTGCACTCCAGCCTGGGGCATAGAGCAAGACTCCGTCTCAAAAAAAAAGAAAAAAACGTCAGACACAAAAGTAGACAGATTAGTGTTATGAATCTCTATGTATTCATCACTCAGCTTCAACTAAAATGAAAGTTATGCTGTTAAAGTTTCACCTATCAACTAGCACCCCCATGCCTTTTTTGGCTAGAGTATTTAAAATAAAATCTCAGCTATTATGTTCTTTCATTCATATCTCTATGCATTTCTAACTCAGTGATTCTTAACCAATCGACACTTGCCAGTATCTGGAGACAGCAATGGTTGTTGCAGTTTGGTAGGGAATGGTGTCAACATGGCATCTAGGAGGTACAGGCCAAGAATGCTGTTAAGTATCCCACAGTGGCACAGATCCATTGCAAAGAATTACCTCGTCCAGAGTCAAAAGTGTAGAGGTTGAAATAACCTGCTCAATTGGTAAGAATTTCTTTTCTTCTTTTTACCTATTCATTAGCATACCTATCAAAATTGACAAAAATTTCTTAACATCATTTAATATCCAGCCCATAATCACTTTCCCCAATCATCTAGAAATACCTCATTACAATCGGTTTGTTGAAATTATACCTTATATGTCTGGAAGCATCACTATGAAGTGCATATATTTATAATTTTCACTAATAACAAGGTAAATATAAAACTGATTCATTAAAAATCTTTCATAAGAATTCAAAGGATACAGAATTTTGTGAAATGTAGTATTTTTACTTAAGCGTCTTTTTTTTCTTTCTATTTCTACCCCCCAGTCTATTATTTTATAAACCAGTTGATACATAAATAGTTTCTTTGGGGATGATAGATTACTTACACATTTTCTATGTAGTAAACATGTATGTGTATGTGTGTGGGTGTGTATCCAACTATTTGTTGGAGTGATTCCTATGATTGAGAACTGCCTGGGCCAAATTTATGCAAAAATCTACATTTTTGTGTAAACTCCCCATGACTAGGGTAACTTGCCCCAGTATTTGAGAATTCTTCATTTCCTAAAGCTGTACAAACATCAGATATCAGTATTCGTAAGCATTGATAATGTAATTTATAATGAAATTCTTTCTCAGCTATTAATGTTAACCATATTATCTTCATGTAGCCTTATAACTCATTTGTGCTATTCCATTTTCTTCTGTTTCTTTTATTTTCACTTCTCTTGTAATGTTAGTCTCTTAGTACTGATTTCTGAAGAGTTCATTTACAATTAAAGATATTAACATTTTGTCAAGAATTGCAAATATGTTTTTTCTCATTCTTTTTACCGTAGTGTTTTATTTTTTGGTTATACAGAAGTTGTATATTGAAATATAATCTAGTTCTGTTTTAAAAAAAGTTTTAAAACCAAGCAAACCACATATACACAATGGTGTTTGACTATTGTGTCTTTTTAAATCAATAACAGTTTCCTTTCCTTTCTTCTTCTTCTTTTTTTTAATTTGCTTTATACTATTTCCCACATGCTAGATTTGGCTGATTGCTTCCTTGTGGTGAGGTTTAATTATTTATATATTTTTATAGTATCAGTCCAAGGTCAGGCTTGACTTTATGGCAAGGCATTTTATAGGTGGTGCTGTGCCCTTCTTATTGTAGCACATCTGGGGACACATGTCTGGTTGTCCCACTTTTTTTTTTTTTTTTTTTTGAGATGGAGTCTCACTCTGTCACCTAGGCTGGAGTGCAGTGGCACGATCTCGGCTCACTGAAACCTCTGCCTCCGGGTCCAAGCAGTTCTCCTGCCTCAGCCTCCCGAGTAGCTGGGACTACAGTCATGCACCACCACCCCTGGCTAATTTTTTATTTTTTGGTGGAGACAAGGCTTCATCATGTTGCCCAGGCTGGTGTCGAACTCCTGACCTCAAGTGATCTGCCCGCCTCCGCCTCCCAGAGTGCTGGGATTACAGGCGTGAGCCACCACGCCTGGCCTGGTTGTCCTACTTTTAATGATGCTATGATTGATCAATGGGTCTGCATAGAATACTTCAATTTTGGGGATCCATAACATCATTTCCTCTTTGTTTCTCTTTCTCTCTCTCTCTTTTTGCAGATGTTTGTAGATATGTTAGTAGTTACTTAAGGGTAACTGTCCTCAAGGCAGAATGGAATCGAGTGTTTCTTCTGATAGCACTGTAAATGTTTCTTTTTCTATTGCTTTTCTAATCACTTCTGTGTGTGTGTCTGTGTGTGTGTGTATGCTTTTTTCCTGTGTATTGTGTAATCTTTCCT